ACAGCATAACCCTGGTACTTTAGTATACCCCTGCCTTTTCCCCCACCCTTTTACCAGACTCCCAATCCAGATAGCCCATGTAGGACTATGACCAGTCCATCGGTATATCGGGTTAGCCCAATATCCTTTTCTTCTGGTTCGTTTCAATGGCCTGATTGGTGGTATCTCTGAGACTCCCAACCCAGAGGTTCTTGCCTGTCTGACTACTAAGACCGGTTCTAGACCTAGGTATCCATTTCACTTGGCTAGCCTTTACAGTAGGGCCATCGAAGATCCAGCTACCTCTCTACTCAGGTCTTCCCAAATTGACTTCTTGTTACCCAATTTCAATGGATTTACATGGCCACGAGGACTTATTTAGTGTTTGCACCACCCGATATATCAGTTTGCATTCCTCTGTATAACTCCAACATTGCACAGATTTTCCATGACCTGCTAGTTATGCTAGTGCGACTGCCATTACAGGTATCCTAACCTAACTGTTAATAACAGTTGCCATAATACGAATATTACATAGATGATTATCCAAATTTTCACCGTCGATGGGATTTGAACACCCAACCTACCACTTGGAGGATTGACAATTTGACCACTTCACTAGGTCACCACACCCGTTTAGTTACTAATTTACATTCATACTTATGCTTATAATTATACCAAATTTTTATACTTATGTTTATGCTTATATTTAAATTTTTTGAACCTATACCTATGTTTATGCTAAATATTTTATGCTTATACTTATATTTATGCCAAATTTTTGTGTCTATATCTGTGTTTGTTCTAAATTTTTTGTGCTTATGCTTATGTCTGTACTAAAATTTTATATCTGTACTTATATTTTTGTCTGAGTTATTATGCTTATGCTTATGCTTATGCCTGTGACTAAGTTTTTATATCTTTGCTTATACTTAGATCTTTTATTAAGCATAGACATAAGCCTAAGTTGCTAACCTTTATTTTTATTTATATTAAATATTTTTATAAGAAAACATTATAAGATTTATAATAGTTTATTATAAAGTAAGTTTTACAAAATTGATAACTACTATTTTTAATTTTAAAATTAAAAATTAAAAAGATTGCATTCAAAATTAGGTAAATGATTTGTTATAATAAATTATATTTGAGTTATTTATAATTAGATAGGTTTTTTTAAATAAAAGTTTTTTATTAATTTTAAGCTTAAATATTTTACCAACTATTTAATTAAATTTGATAAAAAATAATTTATTTTAATTTTATATAATTTTAAAATTAAAATAAAAAAATCATTAAATTTAGTTAAATAATTGTTAAGATATTTTAATTTAAAAATTAAAAAAAAATTTACTAAAAATAGGTTGTTTTTTTATAAATTTTCTTATATATTATTTTAAAAAATTTTTTTATATTTAAAATTTTTTCTAAATGTTATATATTTTTTTCTAATTATAAAACTAATTCTAATTAAGTTAAATAATTTACATTAAACCATTATTGTTATAAAATTTTAAAAAATAATACAAAAATAATATAATATTATTTTCAAGGTTTTTATTTTTTATAATACAGTACTGGTTTAATGTAAATTATAAATACCATCTAATAATCATATAAAAATTTTTTAAATACTTATATTTTACTAAATATTTAACTAATTTTAATAAGTTTACTATTAAAATCAAAAAACACTGCTTTATAGCTTTACTTAAACACTTAAAAACAATTAACTAAATAAAAAAACTTGTAATTTAAAACAAATTAACAGTTAACAAATTTATATCGTTTATATATAATTTTAAAATAGTATACCCTACTTTTAATAAAGAATATTTCAAAAATATAAATTTATTTTGTAGATCTTTTTAGCATTTGTAACTTATATTAAATTTCTTTATTAAATGCATATCTATTCAAAAATAAAATAAAATTTTTTGAAAAATTATCAAAATAATCTTTTAATATAAGGCATCAAAATAACATGATAATTTATAATTATTTCAACTAATAAATGCACACTTATTAATATCTGAATATTATATCGAATGTGCGGCAATTTGAGCATTTGACTGGGTTATAGGCAGACCAGCAAGCTTTTTAGAAAGATAGCCTCTGTTTTTATAATCAGAATACCATTCTACGAAAGCAAAGATTAAATAATGATATCAATATATTATCAAATAAGTCTAATTTACAAATAAAGTGAGAGTTACCGATATCTTTTGCTTTGACAGGAGCAGCAAATTTTGGTATCTTCCAAAATTTCTCTGGTTTTATAGTAGCCCTTAAAGCAAGTCTATTATAATATCTACAGGTAACCTTACCACCAGCTTTCTCAATAGCTCTAATTGCCGCTTGAGAAGCACGGGCGACCTCAATTGTAATTGGGGTTTTCAAATAATCTGAACCCTAATGGAAATATTTCAATTAATATAGTTTTGTGAATAAGAAAAAAGTTGTGAATAATACGAATCAAATTACATCAGCCAGCAACTTGACACCATCTTTAACACCATGTACACATCTAGTATCTAAAAGGTGTTTCATGGTAATTGGTTGTGAGGGATCAATTCTACCGCTACTTATCCAATGCTGGAGACGATCAAGGTTTAAAGGTGCATAAGTTTTTCCACCCCTATTTTCGAAACAGGTAAAAATTCATCGCGTTAAGAAATAAATATCTTGCGAAAATGGGCATACCGATTATGAAAACCACGTTTTGGAAATGCCACGCTAATAGGAGTTTGACCACCTTCGAAGCCACGTCTTGGCTTACCACCTCTCGCTTTTTGACCCTTTTGACCTCGACCGCAAGTTTTACCATGCCCTGAGGCAGGTCCGCGACCGACACGTTTACGCTATTAGAATAAATTTTATTAAATTTTATAATGAATAAAATAACTTTGAATATCTCATAAAACAACCTGCTTTGTTGCTCCAGGGTTATCACTTAAATTTCCTAAACCTAACAAAATTCGAGGTTTTTGTAAAATTGTTACATACGTTCGGAAAATTGAACAATTTGATGTTGAAATTGAAAAAATATTTTTTGTAAATTGAGCAAATGGAAACATATTTATTGTCTACAAAAGAAAGTTAGGGAGGAATCATTACGATAACGATAATCGTCTCTAAACGCACGGACCTTTTCCCGGGTCAAAAAAAGCTAGACAATTACGTGTCACGTAGAAGTTACGAGAACGCCGTTCCATCACGTGACCTGGCTTTCCTACGTATGGTGAAAAAATATTAAAAATATCGATTTACCAAGAAGATTGGCCACGATTTGGTGGAATGTAACTTTCCGGTTTTTGTCCGGCCCAAATTATATACACTTAATTTTGCCAGAAGTGGTATTGTTACACCGCATTAAAAATTGCAAAAATATTTTTCACTCTGCTACGTATTAAACTTATTGAACTGTGCAATTTACCGTTTAACATTTTATGTAAAGGGAAAAATAAGCAATGCTAAACGATAATATCTTTAATGCTATCACTTTGATAAGTTTCTAATTGTTTTTTCCCTCTTCTTAACAAATACTCTATTGCCGCATGATCCCTTGGTGAAATTTTGTGCTGTCGAAACTGAGTTCTTAGGAATTGTTGAAACCTGTTTTGTGTTTCCTTTTAAAATTTTATAAAATTCAGGCTGGAAATTAAAATGGCATAAATTTACGAATTAAATCATATTAACTTACTGGTGGTTTTCTTTTTACAGCTTTACAACATTCACGATAAAATTTAATCACTTCAATTTGCAATCTTGACCGCCGGATACTTAAAGCCGTAGAAGTAGGAAACATGATTCTAATACAAATGTTTTTGGAAATCTCAAATTTGACAATTGCCTAATTGATATACATTACGTATAAGATCGGCAACATAACTGATATTTCTATAGTTTCGATAAATACTGGTACTTGAAAGTTATATATTAGTTATATTGTCTACTCGACTTTTTCTACATTCCCTCAATAAAGATGACGGATCAATCAATTTTTGGTCGTTTTCAGGCGAATGACGTCCCGTACGTAGCTTTTCGAGACGATAACGAAGATCCTGAAGAAGAATTTTCAGAAAGCTTGGTTCTGCGTCCAACACCGAGTACTTCGTCACGGACTACACCTTCAACATTCCAAAATTTTACTACAAACAGGCAACAACGTTATCAGCATTTGCCTGAGGACGATGAAATTGAAGAAGACTCTGATCAGGACAGTAACGAGGCACCCGCTTCCTTGATAGTAGAGATGCCTCAACAGCGCAGTAAAAAAACCCACCCAAGCCCAAGACCAGGAATGAGCATACGAGATTTAACAATGTGGAAATGGGTCAACGTTGAAAACTTAGATTTGTTTTTTGAGCAGGTTTTTTTTTTATTACTTCTTTAGTTTTCTATTTTTACTGCTGATCTCTAAGATTCTTTATGTTTTAAGGTTTATGCGTATTATGTTGGAAAGGGCTTTTACTGCATTTTGCTGAATAGAGTCCTAAATTTACTGTAAGCCATTGACATCATTCAGCTTCATTTTTCATTGTTTAGTATATTTGATATGTTGATTTCCCATCATTTTACCTACTTTTATTTGTTTGACTTAGGACGCTCGGGTTTATCATTAGTTTTAGTACTTTCTTGCTGGAATGCGTTGATTACTCTCTAATAAAGCATAATAACACCTTATCCAATGTTATAATACCTCATTGTCTTAGTCGGTACGCGTTTATCTGTTATCACGACTAAATTATTTCAACGACGGGTCGTCTAACTTTTTGTTATTTTCATGAACAAAGATTATCAGGATGGTCAATGTTATTTGTCACATTGTTTTCTATTGCTTGGGTGTGGCAAGCTGTGAGACTTGTCTTGGATATTCGTCGTCTGACAGACATGTTTAATTTCTATACCTACCTTTTGAATATTCCTGATGTATGTTGATTCAATCGTTCCTCGTCATTATACGATATCTAATTTGTTTATTATATATTAGGCCGATATACAAACAATACCATGGCAAAAAGTTGTTAACCGCATAATCGAGCTCAGAGAAAATAATCCTACTACCTCCCATCAGGGTCCCAACAACAAACCTCAACAACGTCTGGATGCACACAATATAACTAATAGAATTATGCGTCAGGAGAATTATCTTATCGCCCTATTTAATAAGGATCTGCTGGATCTTACTATACCAATACCCTTTTTCCGACAAAAAAACTTTTTGACAAAGACTCTTGAGTGGAATTTACGATATTGTATCATAAACCATGTGTTTAATGATCACGGACAGGTCAGAAGGCATTTTGTTAAAGACACCAGAGGCGTACAAAGGGAGAGATTGACTCAAGGGTATGTCATAATAATATAGATTTTTTTCACCTAAATCATTCTTATTCTTGGTAATGTGTCAATTCATTCATTCTTTTTTCATACGTGTTCGTTATATTAATGCAGTCTTCGTCGTCGCTTCATCTTCATGGGAATTCTCAATATCATATTCGCTCCTTTTATAGTGGTTTATCTGCTCATATATTTCTTTTTCCGTTATTTTGAGGTACGCTTCAAATTTCAAAACTTACTTTAAACATATCAACATATATATATTTACAACATTTGAATCTCTATCTTCTTTTTAGGAATACCGTAACAACCCTAAGAACATTGGTTTGCGTCAATGGTCTCCTTTTGCACGTTGGAAATTTCGGGAATTTAACGAATTACCCCATTTATTTGATCAGAGATTAGATAAGAGCTACAAGCAGGCAAACAAATATATCGATCAATTTCCAAGAGAAAAGACGGCCTTGCTCGCAAAGTAAATGTTGCGTGACATCGATTTCATCAAATTTATCTACAAGTGACCCAATCGAATTATTATTTACATATATGGTTTATTTTCAAAAAAAATATAGGTTTATATCTTTTATAGCTAGTTCTCTCACTGCCGTTTTACTTCTTGCCAGTATTATTGATTCCGAAGTTTTTTTGGGATTTGAAATTACGTCTGGTCGTACCGTTTTTTTTTATCTCGGAATATTGGTTCCGATTGTGGCTATTAGTCGTGGAATGAGTGTGGAAGATCATGTCGTATTTGATCCAACAGTCAGGTTAAAAAAAGTTGTAGAAAATACACATTATTCTCCCGATAATTGGAAAGGAAAACTAGATACTGATGATGTATGAAATGTTATCCATGTTTTATTTATCAAAATGTTTAACTTTGTATTTACATCATGAACAATGTATATTTGATTCAGGTTCGCAGAGAATTTATTCAGTTGTTTCAAGTCAAGATTATGCTTTTTATTCAGGAAATACTTAGTGTTATTTTTACACCATTTGTCCTTTGGTTTTCCCTGCCAGATTGTAGTCATATCCTTTTTTAAGAATTTAATTATTAGTATTAGTGTGTTATTAAGATACGGTTTCCATAAGATTTCCTTAACCATATTTATGCTTTATTGTACAGCAAATTATTGATTTTTTTAGAGAATTCACAGTGCATGTAGACGGTCTTGGATATGTTTGTAGCTTTGCAGTATTTGATTTTAAGAGGCATGGTAATGTTAAGGTAAATATAGTCATGTAATTTGAAAGTCATTTATAAGTAATCTGATTTTGATAGACAACTTTCAATTTTGAAGTATGGTGCTCCGGCAGAAGTCGAGAACGAATATTACCTTTCGAAAGATGGTAAAATGGAAAAAAGTTTTTTGAACTTTAAGGTCAGCATGTAACTTGACTAGTTTCTGTAGTTCATAATTATAAAAGAAAAGACTAATCATGTTTTAATCCATTTATTATATAAGGCTAATCATCCCGATTGGGAACCTACTGATCCGGCCGGATCGCTTTATCTTAGTCGACTTAACTTTAGCAATCAAGCACATTCAGAACGTCATAATTCAACTCGTTCTACCCATATAGATTCAATACTAAAGAATAATCGACGTAGCAGTAATAATGTTCATTTCGGATATCCGCCTAGTGCTCCTAACTATAATTATGCAGGTAACACTACCACTGGAGCACCTAATTATAATAATTATGCGAGTAGCACTGCCACTGGAGTACCTAATTATAATAATTATGCGAGCAGCACTGCCACTGGAGCACCTAATTATAATAATTATGCGAGCAGCACTGCCACTGGAGCTGATGTCCAAAGTTCACCGGAATCAAGTCAAGAAGAACATTGTGCGAGCAATCTGAGTGGTTCATTCTTCTTACCTGGAACACAATATGGTGGTGTTACACATTCATCGGAATCCAATGAACCTGATCGACCACGACGTGATGGTGTAATTGGATTATTAAACCAATTCTATGAACTTAATAATTCGTCTATGTAAAAGTATGAGTTACAAAAAACTGTAATTAATTTGATTTTTATTATGGGATATAATCGGTGATGGGTTATTTTGTAATGTATGATTAGGATTAAATTTGATGATCAACATAGAAATAAGTGAAAATGGGTTATTTTAGAATCATTATCATTATTATTAATTTTTTTTTTTTAATCTTTTGATTTTAATAATATAATTTAAAAATTAAAAAAAAAATAATGTATTTCTACATAATTTTTTTTATTCTAATCCTTTGAGGATAGATATGCAAAACTGTGATTAGGACAATAATAGACAAGTATAAAAATTTAAAATTAGAAATTTACAAATATTATCTATTTAAATTCTATTCACAAAATGACCAAACTTTAACAATTCCCACTTCTTCCACCATATCTGCATCGGAATTAGATGCTGTTATTATATTTTTAGAAAGGGATAGTCCTGGCCATCCAGACGTAGATGGTAATGATTTTGAAATTTGTGCCTCTTGATCATCAAACGTCTCACCGTTATAGACACTCACAATTCGACCCTCATCAAAACCAACCCATTTAACACCCCAATTTTTTATTTTACTTTGAGGAATATTATAACTTGAGTCATTAAATTGGTTCAACGAATCATTCAATGTAACAATACACTCGCCATGTTTCTTTCTTTGTGCAATTAATCCAACGAACGAAAAATCATCATTATGATTATATTGATATCCCTTTAACTCTCGTGCATTATCATAATCATCATAATGTTCGATATTATTGTTTTGAGAATGATAATTTTTCTCTGGATTCCAACCTAAATCCCATATCTTGATAGTTTGATCCATAGCACCAGTAATTAATTTACCATTTTCATCCATAGCAACAGACATAACGCTTCCTGTATGGCCGTACAATGTTTGAACATGCTTGCATTCCAAAGTCTTTCCGTTATCAAGTACGTAATACACTTGTAATGTGTTGTCAGAATGAGCTGTAACCAATTGCCCAGAATTATATGTAATGGTTGTTATAGGAGCGATTGAAATAAATGATGGTAAAGTTGTCGATGATGGTAAATATGAACAATGCTTGGTTGAAAGCAGTGTAATAGTTGAAAACTTAATCTCTTGAATGCCTGCGGTCCAACCACCTCCATAAATTGGAGCAGAATAAACAATTGTAGAAGTCCAAACGTTTCGCTCAACATCATGATTCGTTGCAGATTGATCAAGTTTCTCTTGGGAACATTTGATTGATATCTCAATAGGTGTCCAACAAACAAAACTTTTCAATTGATGTATGAGTTGACATTCGACTAGATTCTCATAAATAAATAAGTTTTTGTTGTCCTTAGATGAGCTTGATTTCTCTTTACCCCTCGAATTAAAATTAATGTAATAAATTGAAAGTACAAAATCTTTATTACAAGTGATAAGAATTGGAGAATATAAAGAACAAGCAATTAAAGGACTTGCATTATGTGATATTGTTGGGATAGTATATAATTCTCGATGCTTCCAGTCATACTCAGTCTTTTCATTTTCATCTTTTTCTAAAGTATCAAATTCCCAAATGGTAAATCCACCATTTGAATATCCGGAAACAAGTTTACATACACCTAAATGGTCATCTCGTTCATTGCTATCAAGTTTTAAGCATGTTATATAGATGGGATTTTTACATCCATGAGTTGCGATAATACGAGTTAAGATGATACTTTTCATAGTATCAATATGTTCATTATGTTTGCCAGCTCGCCATAAATGAATTTCTGGGATATTATTTCCGTTATGATTTGAAGATGAAGCAGTCAAAAGAGTATGTTTTGTAAATTGAACAAGTGGATTGGAATTTGTGTTATATGAAAACCGATGATTTTTATTATATCCATTCAAAAGTGAAAAGGAATTTTGAACACGATCTTGAACCAAATTATCATAAGGTTTAAAGTCGATAACACGACAATTTCCAGTTTGCCAATTATGATTAACTCGATATATATTTTTCCAATCTTCGCTATCTGAAATATCGTTTTCACTTATGCCTTCATTATTAGTAATTATCGAAGGTTTAGGTAGATTAGTTGTTTGAGTTTGTGTCAATTGAAGAGTTTCCAATCGATATGTGAGATTAGGACGATTTGGAGCTTTAAATCTTGATAAAAAGAGACTTTTCCACAACTAGTAAAATTTTAAATAAGATAAATAAATAAATAAATATATATATATATACAAAATAATTCAGTAAAATAAGTAAAACAAGTAAAAAGGTCACCTGGCGATCGTTAGCAATTCGCCACCATTTTCTCGAAACTTGAGAACATATGCTTACGTCTGCGGCTGATAAATACCTGAAAACATGAAGATTTAATTCATCCGAAAAAATATTGACAAAATCTTTTTTTACTTCTATAATATCATTAGTATTCTGAGTGGTATGTATTGTCTTTCGTTGCTTATTACGATCTCGTTCAACAAATTTTTTACCACGAAACATGTTTTAAATATGAATGATTATTAATATTAGAGATCTGCAGCATAATGCTTAAATGTGTATATCGATAATATCGATACATATTCTTCTGATTGGTCAATCACTTACAAAAAACCGTCTCTATCTGAGTAGGATCCATCGAAGTCGTAATGTCGAACGAATTTATGGGTGTGGTCGGATTTAGGCCGGCATTTAGTAATACAAAATTATCTAATACGAGTTCTTCTGTATGAGTTATAAATTCTGGGACTCGATTCGTGATTTCGCTGCCGAATCAAAGCTATCGAATCGGCAAATATTCAGTCGGTCAATTTTTTGCCAGACGTCTCGGAATTTTAAGTCGAAATCAGAAACTTATTGATAAAACAGCTGTAAAATATATACCGTAATTGTCGCACATGGGCGTTATTTAGATCATGGCCCGAATTAAGCTTAATTTAGGCCAAAAATTGAAATTACACCCCTATGCGTTATTTCGCGACAATATGGTATATAAATCTTTTAAATTTGACCCGGCCGAGTTCTGAAAGCCAATACAGCTGTTTTCATAAATTCTAGAGCATCTGGCGATAAGTTTACCTAATCAAAACTTGCCGATTCGGCAAATTTTCAATCGGCCAATTTTTTGCCAGGTCGATCGAGATGCCCAAAATTTATGAAAACAGCCAAAATTAACTTTAATTTTAAATCGTATGTATCTGATATGAGTGACGAAAAGTGAAAACCTGTAAATCATTTCTCCCAATTTTTTTCATTAGTGAAAAAATTCAAAATGTCGCTAAAGGGGTACTATATCATGTGACTAAATTTGAGGGACTGGCACCTTCCGGTTTTCCGATTTTTAAGTAATATTAAGGGTTAGGGTTATACATAGACTAGAAGGTTAATAGATATATAGTAAAATCGTATTTCCTACACTTTTACTTAGTGCATCAAGACCAGTTTAGATAGCCATTTTTTATATTTTCGTGTTTTTGGCTTTGTCAGGTTGTTCGGAATAATGCGGGACATATATCGGGAAATTTCGTAAGGTGCCAGGCTTTAAACGACCCCTAAATTTGTTAATTAGCTACATAATTAAAACAAAAAATTTAGCATGAGTTAGCCCGAACAGACAGAATATCTCATAATTGAACTATTTAATGATTTAGTTGTTTAGTTGTTTTTAAAACCAACTAGTTGGAAAGTTGTCAACTAGTTGATTTTTCAACTAACGATTTGGATCGCTATAAAAGGATTATACCGAAATTTTATATTAAAATTTGAAAAAAAAAGCTTATATAGAAAGATTTTACTATGTCGCTATATCCAGATATCGGTATAACCAGAGTGATGTGTACTGTATTTTTATTTAAATTAAAAAACAAGTTTAAAAAATATAAAAATATAAACAAACTTGTGTTGGTTTACAATTTTAAAAATAATAATTAAAGTTGAAATACGTACGTATACGTAATAACTAAATCTATCTATATATAGTAATCTTTTATTTAATATCGACATGTACAAATTATACGTATGTAAAATTTGCAAATACTATACGTATAAAACTACGTAGAGGTAAATTATTATTGCTACGTATATGATAACGAATTCAATTTCTATTGTTATATGCTTGTGTAATATAAACCGATATTTTTTGTCAAATGCAGACCAATTAGATAGCATAAAAATACTTCACGTGCCAAGTTAATAATTAAATTTAGTACTAATTCGTCACAACAGATCTTGCATTCAATTTATATTGCGTGTATAGTTATCAAAAAAGATCAACTTCAGCTAGTCTAATCATTAATTATGCTCTTTCGTATTCTCTCTTCTCCATTTAGACAGTCCATTATTACTTTCAATGCCTTAGCCAATCCATATTTTTACCAACAAGTTCGTGGTGTTACCAGACTTTGGGGACGTGGTGATGTAAAATATCCTCCTCCAAAGCCATTTAACAAAACAGCGCGGTATAGAAGCATGCTGAAGGTAAGTATTCAAATAATGTTATCGGTTATTTAGGTTCACTCGTAATTAAATAATACTATTTATTCTTAATATTAGGCGAAACGTAAGCGATTACGAGTGAAGAAGACACCATAAATACCACTTTAACAACATAAGAAGAAAATCTCGATGTCTTACATAAAATCATGCGTAAAAAAAAAATCGTAAATTTATCTGCACCAATAACATATTGCCACCAAAATTGTTCTAAATCATATAAATCGTATAAATGTGTTAGTTGGTCTGAAACTCTAAAACACTAAAACATGGAAATTTTTAAAAACATAAAAAATATATTACCAATTTTCTTGCTGGTTGTGTTAGCATTTGCACCGTTTTTGGGTATCCTTTTCAAATCACGTAAAGCTTTGATATGAAAGCTTGAAACATAGATACAAAATTTTTAAAAATTTATAAATATATTCAGTTTTTGTGAATCGTCAACTTCACTAGTTGGTTTTTTTTTCACATATAAATAGTATTTTTATCATGTCATCCTTAACGATTAATAAACTTTTAAGTGTTTGGTAAAGAAGAGCCTACAGTACTTGCACAACCGGAGACTGTAGAGATCACTGGTGAATTCACGGACAATCCGTTTAGTCGTAGGTATTCAATTACATTTATAGTGTTAATTTTATTTCTCCTTTTAATGTTTTTTTTTTTTATGTAGAGGTCGTAAATGGACAAAAGAACACTGTAAAACTAATTTTTGACAATAAAGGAACGTTAAATTATACTATCAATTTAATTGGTGGTGCTTTGGTTAATAAAGACAATCCAAATGAAATCTATCGCAATGTAAGTATCATTCACTCATGTTGTTACATATTAACTTTTTGTCATTTTTAAATAATTATTATATGTGTTGAATAATAGTTAACTGCCGTCAAGTATTCCATCAAAGCACCTTCAATGGATCACGTTGAATTTCCATATTATTTTTATGCTGAATTTCCACCACAGGAATTGGATATCATTTTATTTGTCTTCTTTTCTGACGATGTAAGAAATTGTTCGTTTAGTTATAAAATTTAATTATATTGACTAACTTGTTCTTATTTAATAGGACAAACGTCAATTTAGAGGTGTTGGATATAATGGAACGGTCACTATCGTCGATCCAGAACATTCATTATTTGATCTTCAGCTGTAAGTATTTATTTAAAAATATTTGTCATTATTACATTTTAAATATTGATTTATTATAACTATCTTGGAAATGTGGATTAGCATTTTCTTGTATGTTTTGCTCTTCGGCATGGTTTCGGGTATAGGATACATGATCTTTCAAGCATTCTTCGGAGGAGTTAAAGCTAAAAAGAGCAAAAAGGTAATTTTCTTTCAATTAAAGTTTTTTTTTCTTTGCGTCTTTAAGCAGTGGATTTATTATTTATTTTATTTACAGCGTCCTGTTGTCAAACCAGAGGATGTTGCTACAGGTACAAGTTCATCATATGATGAAAACTGGATTCCTGAACATCATTTAAAACAACCAAGAGCGTCCGCTCGTCTTAAAAAGAAAACTGAGACTTAAAGTGTTTAAAGTATGCATTTAATTACTACAAATTACTACACGAGTAAACTATTTTAGAATAAATATCATTTTTTTTTGTTTTTTTTTTTTGAATTAAGTCGAGGTTCTCTATTTTATAATTTTCTAGAGATTGTAAATTTGTTTTTAAATAATTTATTGATTATTTAATATTTGAATAGAGGCTAAAGTTTATTTTTAGTATTAACAAACATATCTTTTGCATATTAAATAAAAATATTATATTCAGGCTTTGCCAATAGAATATTTTAGTTTACGAATAGAACAATAGAGCATTTTTTATTACTTATAAAATAATTTTTTGTTTAAATATTTATTTGTAATTATTAAATAAATATGTTATTATATTAGAAAATTAAATATATTGGTATCAATTTTTATATTTTAAATCTTATAATAAATCATAAGAAAATGCAAATTTTAATGAGTTATACTGCAAAATTTTAAGTGAAAAATGATTCTAATTTTATTTTAAATTGATTTAGGTAAAAAAAAAAAATTGTTATTTGGTTCTTTTTTCAAGCATCTAGTTTATATAATAGAAAAATTATAACTTTAATTTATTTGATTATTTAGACTTACTTTTTTTTTTTTGTTAAGATGACCTTTTTGGTCTTTTGATTTTTATTTAATAATGATAAATGTGGTTTAGTGAACCACTACAGGAAGAGCATACAATTAGCTACATGTGTAACTTTTCTATATTACCTATTTAAAAAGTTTGCTCAAAGGTTCTTTACCAATTGCTATACTTAATACTTCTGCTTGAATATTTCATTTTAAACTTTTTGAATCTGTGAATCTGTTAACTTCACTAAGTTATACTTAGATGTTCAGATCATCATCTTAACCTTAGAACTATTTTATCTTCAAGGTAAATCTTCTGAAGCTTTTTGTATCTATTTTTATAACTAACCTAATATTATTATAACAGAACTAATACTTGTGATCAGAGCTAATCATTAAACCATTATGTTCTTGTAGAGTTTACACAAACCTAGCATTTACTTTATAGTATAATCCTAGTACTTTAGTATACTTCGTTTTTTGTTTAGCTTTTGTTCAGACTCTTAATTCAGATAACCTATGTAGAACTATGATCAGTCTATCAGTATATTAGATCAGTCTGATATCCTTTTCTTTTAATTCATTTCAGCAGCCTAGTTGGTAGTATCTTCAAGATTTCTAACTCAAAGGTTCTTGTCTGTTTGGATATTACAACTGGGTATTATAACTTAGGTATTTGTTTTTCTAAACTAGCTTTTACAGTAGGATCATCAAATATCTGGTTGCTTCTTTATTTGGATCTTCTCAAATAAATTTCTTGTTATCTAATTTCAATAAATTTATATAGCTACAAGAACTTATCTAGTGTTTATATCATCTAATTTGCTAATTTAAATTTTTCTATATAACAATTTATACAGATATTCCATGACTTGCCAGTCATGTTGATATGATTACTATTACAGGTATTCTAATCTAATTATTAGTAACAGTTGCTATAATACAAATTTTTTTTTTTTTTTGCTCTTAAGCAGTCATGCTAGTACTTTATTAAAATTCTTGCTACTATATACAATAACTATATAGAATTTTCCCAATAACTAAGTTTAGCATCACCTAGCCACCTTATTGGTATCTAAGTGCATTCTGCTGCACTACCCCAGTTGGAGGTAGACTGCTTATCTGACTACTTAAAGTCATATCAGATAGTGCTTCAATCCTATTTTTAAAAGGCTATCTGAATTCAATCCTAATTCACTTTCTTATATCCGGTTGAATCCTATTTATAATCTGAATTAAGTAAATTTGGATTCATCTGTAAAAAGTTTATTGACCAACCAATCAAAATCATGATTTTCAAAAGATATTAAATATGTACATATGTACATTATATATAGAATAAGATTATTTAATACATACATTGGGGATAAACTAAATTCTGTAGCTGTAGCAGCTTGTTTGTTATTAAATACATATTATTCTTGGAGTATATATTATTATTAAATCAATTGATTGAGATAATTGAGAACACCTAAGACAATATATGCTACCAGTTTATACATTATTTCTATATGTTTAAATTGAGGTTTTAAATTTCTTGTACTTACGTTATTTTTTACTATGTATTGTATTATTATTTCATATTGATATAATTGCTTTATTTAATATCTTTCAAAGCTGATTATATTTTTTTACGTACCAGGTACAAGTTAACACTTGCTAACTAATTGCTTTATTTAATATTTTTCAAGCTAGTTACATTTTTTTATAAGGTACGTACAAGCTATAACTTGCTAACTATTTATCTTTATTTAGAATCTGAAAAGTATAACTAATTACACTATTATTTATATTTAGAAATACTATACTGATTAATACTTGCTAGTTTTTTGACATCTACATGATTAAACATAATTAACCCATATTATTCATCAAATTGTTTTTTTTTTTTTACTTTCAATTGCGTGTTTCTTGAAAATATTATTTTTCATCTGTTTCATCCTATTCTGGTGCAAAAATACTTATTGTATTAATATTTCTTTTTAGAAATAACATCTGACCCACTAAAGCTGGATCAAGGCTAGTTCTTTTTGCACTAATAAGGTTACTAGCATGTGAAAATAACCTTTCACAAGATACTGAAGTTGCTGGTATTCCAAGATATTTTTGAGCAATTTTAAAAAGTTTAGTAAATTTAGAACTATTAACTTTCCACCAAGATAAAGGATTTTCAGTTTCTAATGCTGATGGTAGGGACAAGTAATTTGAAATTTCATCGAAATTTTGCATATTTGGAGGTTTTTTTTTCTTTTCATTTTTCATTGTTGAAGATATTCCTTATGAGAGCATGTTGAAGTTTCTATGTTAGAAGGAGGAAGATTATTTGGTTTAGATATTATTTCTTCTATCTCTCCAAGTTCATCACGAAGTTTTTGAATAACTTGTTGCTTTTCAGTATTATTCTCTAAAAAATCCAAACTTTTATATCGAGGATCTAATAAAGCCATCATTAAACTAACTTCATTTAGAACATTCCAGTAATAAATCATCGCATCATAGATATTCTTTTTAATCTTTTCCAAAATGCCTACAGAATTATAAAAATAAAGTATATATTTAGAGAGTTGCATTTACTAAATACCTATTTTAATTATACCAGAGCATCTTTTTCTATTTATTCTAATCACCCTGAGTATAATTAAAATATTACTTTAATTCAACTTTAAATACCTGTCATATTTAATGGATTTTTAATTGAAATTCTTCGTTTTGTAATATTGCTAACAATTTCATCATCGTCATAATCAATATGCTGTATTTCCGCATCTTCTAATTCAAATATAGTATCTTCATCAAAAAACAGATCATTACTTGGTGGTGTCTCGCTTGCTAAGTCAAAAATTATTTCTTTAACCTTTGGAATTACCCAACTTAAGGTCACATATGTATTACCAGAAAATTCTCATGTCATCTTTTCAAATGGCATTAGTAAATCAATAAGTTGATCTATTAGCTTCCACTCTTCATCAGAAAGAAGAATTCTTTTTAATTTACTACCATCTTTTTTGATTTCTTGATCAATTGATATGTATAAATCAGTTTGAAGTTGGGTAATAGCATCTTTTATAAAATAAAGCCGATCCCAAGCATAATATATTGAGTTCCAATGTGTAGGTACATCTTGAATACAACCTATAACATCTGTGTAGCCAAGTTACTTCTGAACTTCTTTTAATCACTCTAATTGTTTTTGAGTTTGAAAAAAATGAATTATTCTTTTTACATGTGCAACTAAAATTTCTGCTAGAGCTAGCTTCTTTCCGATTGCTAATTGTATAGTATAGGCTATATATGGAAGATGCTTAATTTTTTCACACCCATCCTTTTGGTTCAATAAAGAAAAAGTTGATACCATATTGGCTCCACTATCAGTGGTAACCAAGATTATATGATTTTTAAGATTCTATAATTCAATAAACTTATAAAGTTCATTAACAATAATTTTGCTAGTATGTGGAGAGAAACATATTGAGTTTCTAACATTACATCTTTTATTTCAAAATCTGATGTAACCCAAGTCGCAGTAATCCCCAAATACTCGTGCTTTGCTTTACTAGACCAGAAATCCATAGTAAGAGAAACACTTTCTGCAATATTAACAAGATTTTGCAAATTTTCTCGATTATACTTATAGCTTTTAACAATCATAGTTCTGATTTTTTTTTTACTCGGAACAACAAATGCAGGGTCAAATTCAGACATTTTTTCTCTATAAGTATTATTTGTAATAGTAGATAAAGATTGATTTGTAAGTATCATCCATTTAAGAAGTACTTCCTCTTATCTTTTTTGAATATGTTTAGGGTAAGGACAAACTTTTTGTATAAAATCAGTGATTTTGGAATTTCGCAGCTAAAAAAATTAGAAATATTAATAAGATATTTATTATATTTAATCTCTAAATATTATAATATATTATTATAGTATATACTTTTTTTAAAACTACTATATCATCTTGTAAAACGATTCCATGTACATCTCTGAGGTGCGCAATAAGATTTCCTGTTGAGCTTCCAACATTCTTATATTCTTGATTGCATTTCTTTCTATTTTCATCCTGGACCTTGCAAATCCGTACTTCTTCACCTGTACTATTGACTGTTTTTTCAAAATATTCTCGCGTAAATGATGGATTTTTACATTTGTATGATTTTTTATTTTTGGAGATAATGGATTCTTTATCTAAAAAAAAAAAAAAATTAACTATTACTAAGTCTCTAGCTTTATAGTTTTATCACTATAACTTAATATCTTTTTTTTTGTTTTCTAGAGTTGTTTAAATTTCAGATAGCATTTCAGTTGATAAATTAGATGAAGTCCTTGAATTTTCAAATTGATCATATTGTTCCAAATATATATGCATAGTTTCAAAGTCAAAGTCATTACTTTGATAATATTCTAAACTATCGTTAACCATCATTCTTCACTATCTATGGCTGATATTTAAAAAACTAACTAGCGATCGATTCTTTAATCAATGCTTATAAATTATTAACCCCTTAATAACATTATTTTTACAAATTAGTCAGTCTATGAACTTTCAAGTTCATAATTTGATCATCAATGCTGAACTGTTGAACAGACAAAAAACTGGCGAAGAACATAGTAACGAAGAGATCCTTAAAAAAGAAAAGGTTAATAGATCTTATAAAGTTTTTAGACTTCGAGAAGAGGCTGTTCTAACTCAAAAGAATTGTTCCTTCTAATCTTGAAGCAATCTAATCTTATATAAATAATCGGCTTTTTTTTTTAAAAAAAAAAAAAATAAGTGATCAACAAAAATTATTATTTGTTCATCACTTTTTAATCATTATTACATAATAAAAAAAAGACTGATTTCATGAAATGGGTTTTAAACATATTTTTCTTATTTAACAAATGCTATTTTTTTCACAGTCATTTCATAAAAATCCAACTAATAATTCTGAAGCTTTATATTTATATGCACATATGTATAGGTTAACAAATATGTCTATATCACTTTACAGCCTTTCTTTTCTTGCATTACATTTCTTCACGGCTTTATTAATACACCTTTTTTTAATCCCAACATTCTGCTTAAACTCATACTAACAATAGCATGTATTTTCTTTGACTTATGATTTACTGACCTCCTTTTTTCCTTTTATATATTTGCTACTGCTACGAATTTGATGATACGTATAAATAAACTCTATACACAAACTTCTCGGTTTATCTGATATTACCAAACAAATTTATTTTATATTATGTACTAGTATGTACATACGTACAGTCGGCTCACAAAGTTTAATATGGTTGCACAAATATAACGATAAACAATAAATAAATTGCATAAATTAATAATATTAATGTATAGTACATGAGGATTGATACATATATGCCATCTTTTAAGGTCTCATAAGTTTTGGAAGTGGCCTTCGTTGCTAAGCATTAACTTTTAATATTTTCTACATATTCTCAATAGGATAGGTTTTTTATTATTTTTGTGTAATAGTGTTAGACTTTGTGAACTGACTGTACGTTTGTGTTAGGCATGTGCTTCTGATAAAATATGGAAGCAATATAATCCTTATCCTTAATCCGATCCTTAATCTGATCCTTAATCTGAGATGTAATACGGATCCATCTGTTTAAAATTGACAGATACGGATATCTGAGTTCAATTTGAATTATCGAATTCATCCGAATTAATCGGATTACGGATCGAAGCACTAATATCAGAAAGGATTTTTCTCTTCTAAGACAAGTATTAACTGTCTTCAATCCTTTCTTTAAATTCTTTCTTCTTCTCAAAGTGCTGAAAAAAAAGGGGTATTATAAAATTGAATACAAATAAGAACACGACTAAAAAAACCAAAAGTAAACAAACAAAACCCAAATCAAAACAAAACAGCAAAACAAATACATAATAGTAAGAAAAAGAAAAAACAAAAAGAGGACTGAAGCCCCAGCCAAAGTAAATTGTAAAAATTATATAGTATTGCTATTTCTAGTCTCTATTCTAGAAATAGGTCTATACTATATGTAAATATCATTCAATAATAGAAATGTTAGTGTTTAATTTCTTTCTTATTAGTTCTACAGTCGACCTTTTTATTCTGATTAGAGCTACTTCTAATTCCAGAAAAGGAATAATTCTCCTATTTCCAAAATGAATAATTTCTGTAGATCTTTTATAGAAGGTACGCTGGATTCCTTTTCTTGTAAAAACTTCTATCAAAAATCAAGCAAAGAATATGATAGTAGTGTTTAGTTAGCAGGTATCCTTGAATTTCTAGTGAATGTATTGAAAACTTGCTTATTGTTTTTCTATAAGACCTACTATTTTAACTTTGTTAACAGAAGCCAAAACTTCTACTAAAATTTGTTATACAAGGGTATCTTCTGCTAGTTATTTTGTATATGCATGCTTTTAGTTTGCTTGCTAAATATATAGAGGAGTTCAGTGTAGTAGAACCACTTTGATCTTTATAAAAACTGTTATTTATATAGTAGCCTCTTCTATTTTTTCTAATAAGTTTTCTGTTTTTGTTAGTATGAAATTTAGTATAAGTGATTGTTAGAGAGAGTTTTTTTTTTTTTATAATTTTTCTATATAATACAAATATTATATAAATAATTATCCAAATTTTTACTATTAATAAAATTTGAACATCCAATTTACTACTTAAAGGGTTGTTAACCTGATTACTTCACTAAATTATCATACTTTATACTTTTTTTTATTTTTAACCTTAAGTAGTTATATTAGTACTTTATTAAAGTTCTTGAAATTATATATATATATAATTATATAAAATTTTTCAATACTTAAATCTAGTATTATTTGGCAATCTGTTATATTATTATTATTAATTTTTAGTAATATTGCTAGTTAGTTTATTAAATTCTAAATTTGATATAATATAATTTTTACAGTTATATTTACAGAATTAATTATTATTAATATTATATTAGTTACTTTAATTTTATTTTACTAACTTTACTTAGTTACTTTTTTTTTTTTTTTTTTAGTATAAGGTGACCTCTTTGGTTTTTTGACTTTTATTAATCATTTATCGGTATTGTGGTTCAATGAGCCACTACAGGAGAGCATACAATTGGCTATATATATAACTTTTCTATATTACCTATTTAAGGAGTCTGTCTGAAGGTTTTCTACCAATTGCTGTACCTAACACCTCTGCTTGAATGTTCTACTTTAAACTTTCTGTACCTGTAACCTGTGTTAACATCACTAGGTCATACTCAGATGCTCAAATCATCATCTCAACCTTAAGACTAATTTATCCTTAAGGTAAACCTCCCAGAGCCTTCTGTACCTATTTTTACAGCTGATCTAGGTATCGTTATGGCAGAACCAATACTTGCAGCAGAACTAACTATTAAACTGCTATGCCCTTGTAGAGTTTACTTAGACCCTAATATCTACTTTACAGCATAACCTCAGTACTTTAGTATACTCCTGCCTTTTTCTTTGCCTTTTTACCAAACTTTCAATTCAGATAGCCTATGTAGAACTATGATCAGTCCATTGATATATCAGGTTGGCTCGATATTCTTTTCTTTTGGTTCATTTTGATGGCCTGGCTGGTAATATCTTCAAGACTCTCAACCCAGAGGTTCTTGCCTGTCCAGCTACTAGGACCAAGTACTAGACCTAGGTATCCATTTTGCTAAGCTAACCTTTACAGTAAGGCTGTCAAAGATCCAGCTATCTCTCTACTCAGGTCTTTCCAAATAGACTTCTTGTTACCCAATTTCAATGAATTTATACAACTATGAGGACTTATCTAGTGTTTGCACTGCCTGATATGTCAGTTTGCATTCCTTTGTGTAACTCCAACATTGCACAGATGCCCTATGACCTGCCAGTCATGCTGATGTGACTGCCATTACAGGTATCCTAACCCAACCATTAGTAACAGTTGCTATAATACAAATATTACATATGTGATTATCCAAATTTTTACTATCGATAGAATTTGAACATCCAATCTACTACTTGGAGGGTTGACAACCTGACCACTTCACTAGGTCACCACATCCTCTTTACTTAGTTACTTATATAGCATCTAAGTTTATATTTATTATATACTTGTATATTATTAAACTATTATATAAACAATAATATCAAAAATACTGTATTTTGTAATTATATCTATATGCCTTATTTTTATATTTTTATTTAGTTTTATTTCTTCTGTTTTCTAATCTAACTATATTTAGTAATATCTTGTTTTCCATATTTCTTATTTTTTTGTTACTGTATCACTCTTAAATTGATTCTATTTGGATATATCTAATCATTATGATCTTCTATCTTTTGTATATTTGTTATTGTTTTTCTAAAGTTTTTTAACAATGATTTAAAATCTACAATTAACTTGTATTTTAAATAAATCTGCAACTACTATTAGTTTTTTGACTAATCTGTATTTTAAACTAAATGTGTTATTACTGTTTTGTAAATGTTCTAGATTTTAATATTATATAATAATTTGATATTATATTTATTTTTAGCAAAATATTTTTTTTTATAATAAGAATTGAAACTTGTTACACTTATAAACAAGATAATTTTAGTTATATCTGAAGAGTTTTTCTAATCTAGTAATACAATTTTAATTATATCTAAAAAATTATATTAACTTCAATAATGTTATACTATTTTACAAATCTTATTTTATATTGGTTAATTGATTCTAGTTTTGTTTATTATAAACTTTTATATAGGTATTTCTAAAATCCAATTTGATACTTTTTTTTGTATAATTAACTTTCAAAATTTTCTCTTTTATAATTAGATTATTTAGCTGTATCAAAGTGGTTTTAATTTTAGTTAAACTATAAATCATTTTGTATTTATTGCTTTTCTTATTATTTTAATCTTAATTATTTTTAAATTTTTCTTTCAATTAAATCTTTTTTTTAAATCTCAATTAGAACTTATTTGTATAATTCATTAATTATTATTTTAAATAAATACTTTACAAGTTAGATGTAATGATATTAGTACTATTTATATTAGAAGATATAAGGATGTTGGTATTGTTTTAGCTTTAAAAACTTATATATATAATCTTTTTATAATTATAATTTTTTGTAATATTGCTATATATAGTGTTTATACTGCATAATTGGATCTTCTTTTGGAAATTTTTTATTTTAAAATTTATATATGTATTTAGTTTTTTCTATAAGGTTTTATATTTAATTAATACTTTTAATAAGTTATAAAAACAAAATTGTCTTTACTTTAACTCAAATTATTAATCTTGTTTGTAAAAAGTTTAAAAACTTACTTGCTAAGCTATGAAACTAAACCTTCTGTTATACTATTTTAGTTAAAAATAAACTGTTTTTTTTTTTCTATAATAAGCATATTAATTGCCATTTAAATTTCTTTTATTATTTGGTTTGTTTTTTTTTTTCTTT